CATAAGAGGGAATATGCTCTCCAGGCTAATACACTACCACTAAGGGATGGATATGATTCTCATGTATAAATACATAAGGGTGGAGATATGATTCTCCATGGTATAATAACATACAGGGGATATGATCTTCCGATGTCTACTATTATAAGGGGGATATGATCTCCATGCTGATAATCCATTAAGGGGGGAAATGATATCCATGTATTATATACATTAAACGGGGATTATGATCTCAATGTATATATAACATTAGGGGGGGATTGATCTCCATGTATAAATACATATGGTGTGTGGTAGATGTTCTCATGTATATATTACATAAGGGTATTGCGAATATGAATCTCATGGTAAAATACATAGGGGGGGATATGATCTCCATGTATAATAACACAATACGTTTGGATATGATCTCCATGTATAATACATAAAGGGGGATATGATCTCCATGTATAAATACATAAGGGGGGGAGAGGGATTGATCCTCCATGTATAACACATAAGGGGGATGATTGATCACATGTATAATACATAAGGGGGGGGATATGATCTCCATGTATAATACATAAGGGGGATATGATCTCCATGTTATAAGTAAATGAAGGGTGGGATATGTTTCCTATGTATAATACATAAGGGGGGATATGATCACCATGTATAATACATAGTTGGGATATTATGTCTCCATGTATAATACATAAGGGGGATATGATCTCCCATCCATAAAGGGGGACTATGTATCTCATTGATACATAAGGGGGATATGATCCATGTATAACTACATCAAGGGGGGGGGATATGATCTCCATGTATAATACATAAGGGGGATATGATCTCCATGTATAATACATAAGGGCGATATGATCTCACATGTATAGCAATAAGGGGGGATAGATCCATGTATAATACATAAGGGGGATATTGATCTCCATGTATAATAATAAGGGGGGATGGGGGGTTATGATCTCCATGTATAATACATAAGGGGGGCATATGATCTCCATGTAATACTAATAAGGCGGCGGACATGAAGGTGTATAATACATAAGGGGATATGATCTCAACATATAATACATAATGGGGGATATGATCTCCATGTATAATACATAAGGAGGGGATATGATCTCCATGTATAATACTTAAGGGGGAATATGGATAAGAAGGGAATATGATCTCCATGTATAATACATAAGGGGGGGTATGGATTCCTATGTATATACATAAGGGGGGATCGATGATCCATGTATAACTTACATAAGGGGGATATGATCTCCATGTATAATACATAAGGGGGCGATATGATCTCCATGTATAATACATATGGGGGGGGGGTATGATCTCCATGTATAATACATAAGGGGGGTGTATATAAGGGGGACTATGTTCTCAATGTATAATACATAAGGGGGATATGATCTCCATGTATGAATACACTCAAGGGGGGATATGATCTCCATGTATAATACATAAGGGGGGATATGATCTCCCATGTATCAATTACATAAGGGGGATATGATCTCCATGTTATTAATACATAAGGGGGGGGATATGATCTCCAATGTCATAATACATAAGGGGAATATGATCTCCATGTATAAACATAAGGGGGGATAGGATCACCTATCTATAATACATAAGGGGGGGATATGATCTCCATGTATAATACATAAGGGGGATATGATCTCCATGTTTAATACATAAGGGGGGATATGATCTCCATGTATAATACATAAGGGGGGATATGATATCCCTGTATAATACATACATTGGGGGGAATTATGATCATGTATAATACATAAGGGGGGATATGATCTCATAAGGGGGATATGATTCCATGTATCATACATAAGGGGGGAATATATTCTCCATGTATAATACATAAGGGGGGATATGATCTCCATGTATAATACATAAGGGGGGATATGATCTCCATGTATAATACATAAGGGGGGATATGATCTCCATGTATAATACATAAGGGGGATTATGATCACTCAAGATAATACATAAGGAGCCGGGATATGATCTCATGTATAATACATAAGGGGGATATTGATCTCCATGTATTAATACGTAGGTAAGGGGGGGGGGAATATGAATCTCCATGTATAATTACATAAGGCAGTGGTTCATATAGTGCACTCGGTATAGAATTATTCACCCTGAGGTCATCACAGAGGACAAGGGGGCACTCTTTACGTCTGGAGGAAAGAGATTTAATCTTCAAACACAGAAAGGTTTCTTTACAGTAAAAGCGGGGAAAATGTGGAATAGACTCCCTCCAGAGATGGTTCTGGCCAGCTCAGTGGATTGCTTTCTTGGATACAGAGAATATAAATTGGTTACTATTTATACGTAAAGTTGATCCAGGGAATATCCGATATCCTCTCAGGGATCAGGAAGGAATTTTTTTCCCTGCAGGAGCAAATTGGATCGTGCTTTGCTGGGTTTTTAGCCTTCCTGAGGATCAACTGTGGGTGTAGGATTATAATTTTTTTTTTAATGGTTGAACTGAATGGACTTTTATCTTTTTTCAGCCAGACTATCCATGTATCTATGTAAGATGTGCTAGATGGGGGGATATTGGAAGCATAGGTGTGCTAGATTGGGGGGCATTGGAGGCATAGGTGTGCTGGATTTGGAGGGGGAGACATAGGACAGTTAAGGGGGGGGAAATCAGGACAGTTAAGGGGAGGCTCAGGACAGTAATGGTGGGACTGAGGCCAGTAATGGGGGGCTCAGGACAGTAATATGGGTGGGTGTGGGGAATTTGTGAAATTTGTGAAGACTTTCACCCATAACAGGTTTATATTGTCATTCTTTCTGGCCTGTCTATAACCCTGAAGTAACGGTATTACATCAGGGTTATTGGCTGGCAGCTCTGCTGTAAGTAAGTTAGGGTTAGGGGATTTAGGGGGCACAAATTACTTGCCTTGCCCTGGGCGCTAACAACCCACAATACGCTAAAAAAAAATGTCTCCTAACTATATTAACTGGCTCCTAGATTCAAAGCAAATTTGTCAAGCCCTGGTTCTGTGCCAAAAATATAGAGTGGAGCACGTTCTGATGCACCAACAGCATCTGTCCTCGAGGGTGGAATGTTGCCTGGTTAATCCTAGCCCAATGGGGAAGGATTCTTAGAAGGGATTACATGCCCTTATCCTGACCCTACTCACCTGGAAAAGACGGGTAACCTGTCCCTGCCTTGTCCACTTGTGCGCCAAGCCCAGGAGCCAGGGTCTTAAATAGATTCTGCCCTACCCAGGGTAGCCCCCAGAGTCACATGCAGTGACAGCATGCAAACGGATTGCTTCCCAAGTGACCATAAACCATAGAGGAGTGTGTTTCTCTTGATTTTCTCTCCCTCTGCAGTGCCACTGTCATTGAGCATCACCTGCAGTAGAAAAAAGAGACTGCAACTACTACAAACTCTTGAAATGGAAACAAGAAGAAAGGGAAGATCAGAGTATTGAGACTTGACATCTTCATTTTCTCTTGCGAGCTTTGAGGATACATTTCTTCACAATGCCTGTACATACAGGAGCCAGTGATGTCAAAGATCAGTGATGGTTTGATGTCAAGCCTATATACTACTTGTTAAAAAATCTGAAAATATTTAAATGTCTAGCCTGGGCACCGTTCTACTATAAACTCTCTCTTTTTTGGGATCAGTCCCATTCTCCCTGAACTGCATTTTTTTTAAACTTACCTTCCTTCCTTTTGCCATTGCAGGGCGGCTTCTTCCCTCTTGAAGAGAAATGCCAGAGGACACCCTGCATCTTTTTCAACATTTTCAACAACTACATAAAAATACCTGTGGATTTTGCCAGGAAAACCGAATCCTTGCAATTTCATGTGAGCTGGACAGGGAGCATAAAAACAATGCATATAATGGGTAATGGATGGTATAGGATTGTAACTTTTTTTTTGTTTTAATGGTTGAACTGGATAGACTTTTGTCTTTTTTCAGCCAGATTAACTATGTAACTATGTAAGATATGATTTCATGAGTTTAGTGGGAAAGAACTTCTGTGGTGTCATAGAGCCCTGACCTGAACCAAACTGAACACCTTTGGGATGACTTGGAATGGCAATCGCCAGCCTGGTCTTCTCATCCAACATCAGTACTTGAGATTACAAATCGTATTGGGCCTGAATTGGCACAAATTTCCCTAGACACAGCCTAAAATCTTGCAGAAAACCTTGCCATAAGAGAAGAGGCTGTTATAGACACAAGTTACATTGTTTGGAGGGTCAGCTCCATGTTAATGCCTATATAGTTTTGGAATGGGTTGTCCAGCAAGCTCATATACACTAGGTATGATAGTTAAGTGTCCACAGCCATAGACAGTCAAGCAGCTAGCACTTTCAGAAGAAAACGTCAGCAATGGTGGCCTACATTCTCCTTCATGCACACTCTCCTTCTAATGATGTACTTGATATCCTTTAGACGAGCTGTGCAACAAATAGCAGAGGAAGGCAGCCCTATAAAGAAAGGTTTGATGCCCTGTCATTCCTACATAGACATCTGCCTATCTATAGCCAGCTTTATCTTTAAAGTGTTACTAAACCCACAGCAGTAAAATCAGTCTGTATATGCAGTAAAGCATGCTTGTTATACTCACTGTGGAACCTAAGGGGTTAATCCTCTGCATTGTGTAAAAAGGCGGTTTGATCCTGTCTTCTCTGATCCTCTTCTTTTACTGTCCACAATCCATCTCCTGATAGAACAGAACCTTGGGGGCCAGCTGCACATGCTCAGTTTGATATAAGAGTTTTTTTTTCTTGGGAGAGTACATGTGATCAGCACAGGGCCAATCAGCGCTGTCCAGAGAGAGGGTCAGGGGTTATGCAGCCTCATAGGACAATCAGGGGAGAATGAAAACTCTTCCTGCAAGCTTTAACCAGTGCTCTGCTGGACACTGATAGAAGTCACAAGAGTGCTCTAACTGCTAATGAGAAAAGATATTTAGCAGTTTATAGTTACTAAAATAATTGCATTTCTATGTTATGTGTACTGTGGGAGACCAGATATAGTGAATGAGGGTCCTGGGAGACCAGATATAGTGAATGTAGGGTCCGGGGAGACCAGATATAGTGAATGCAGGGTCTGGGAGACCAGATATAGTGAATGCAGGGTCCGGGGAGACCAGATATAGTGAATGCAGGGTCCAGGGAGACCAGATATAGTGAATGCAGGGTCCGGGGAGACCAGATATAGTGAATGCAGGGTCCTGGGAGATCAGATATAGTGAATGCAGGGTCCGGGGAGACCAGATATAGTGAATGCAGGGTCCTGGGAGATCAGATATAGTGAATGCAGGGTCCTGGGAGATCAGATATAGTGAATGCAGGGTCCAGGGTTTAGTAACACTTTAGGCCCATATATCAGTAAGCATATTTATGCAAACATGCAGCAAGATGAGGGGGGGGGGGATCTGACCAGGTCTGTTGAATTACAGGCTGCCCTTGGCAATGTGGTCAAACTTTAGTGTATATTGCTCTGTATCAGGGGTGGACTGACCATTTGGGAACTCGGGCACTGCCCCAGGGCCTGGGGACAGTAGGGGGCCCCATGAGATGCCCCTGGTACCTTTCATAGGCTTTTTTGGGTATGGTTTGAGTGTGGGCTAGGACACAGGGGCCCCATGATCCCCTATTGCCCAGAGGCCCCATAAGCTGCCAGTCCGCCCCTGCTCTCTATAGTCATATTTTGACATACTATGCAACTGTCACAACATGAAAGTCATGGTACAACCATGAACATGGATATTTGTATCCAGATTATTGTTCTCCTAATGTACTCAGGCACAGAAACACATTACTGCTTTTAATATGAAGTTCTCTTAGAACTTAGTTAAAAAAAAAAAAAAACAGCCTATAACTAGTAATTGTCCTTCTGTTGTAAAGCATAATGCATTTCCAGCGATCCATAAAATAGGTATAAGCCTAACATCTACCACCTTACATGAACAATCTTCTCTGTTCATCCAATTGACCCGCTCCACTGCAAAGCTTTATTGGCCAATCTAGCAGCGCATTTTGGGGAGTTGAAGGCAATGAAAGTAATAGCACCATTTCCCGTATGCCGAAATTGAGCTAGGGAGTTGGGGAGACCATAAAGTACACCGGCTTTGGTTAGCAAAACTGCTTAGTAAGCACTTCACGTGAGTTCTTAAAATTTACCGATAGTTCTGAAGCAAGAAGTAAGCTGCAAAGGAGGGTAAGGAAGACAGGCAAAGACCTCTCTTTTCTGTGTTCCATTTTTAACTTTTACTGTATCTTAGGTGGATTATATACAGTATAATGTCTGCATCACAAAAAATGAAAGCTAAAGACCACCCTAGCATATAAATGGACAATAAAGGAACAGCAGCACACTGATAAAGTCATCACTCTGGTGTATGTGCAATTAGATTAGTTGTCTGATGTAGAAATACAAATAATTATTATTATACAGGATTTATATAGTGCCAACAGTTTGCTCAGCGCTTTAAATAATGATTTTTTTTTTTTTTGTGAATACCTAATGCATTAAGTGGTCTTTTATATCTGCCTGTGGTTTAACTTCCTTAAACCCTACTCTCAATACTTGTTCCTAGATTTACGCTTGCTGATGGGACACCTAGTAGGCAGGCAATGTAATTGACAATGCAAGTGATTCAGTACTGACAATGAATATTTGAAAAAACAAAATAGATTGTTCAGGTGAGTCCTCCTATTACATAGTTTTGGTAAAGCTAAAGGAAATTGCATAGTGTATGGCAACTTGTATATAATTACATGGGAGGGAGTGTGTAAACCCTCTATTGACAAAGTTGTAATGACGAAACGCGTCAGTAGGCGACCTCAGATGCCAAAAGGAAGTTTAGCGGAGCCATTTTGGTTCAGGTCCGTTTCAAGGAATTGTATACCAATGCTGATGTACATCTCATACTTGTAAGCACTTTTTCATTCATTAAATTCTACTGTTTTGGTTTGCTACGCAATGGCTGCCTATTTTGTTTGTCTGATTTACATACCGGCATTGTGGTGAAATTGGCAAGAGTGATGTTAGTTTGAATTGCTAAAAGGAGAATATTTACGGGAGGCTTGATCCTTATGCAGTCTGGTAAGGTGCATGAGTTATGAGGGGGTGGGTCACCTTATTGTTTTACATAAACCGGTGGACATTGGTTTGGGGTAAGGGTGCACTGAGTGGCACTATATGAAGTTCATCTGTCAATAATACTGCACTATAGGAATTTCAAAAACATTTTTGGAGGGTTATTATCATTCACGAGGAAGATTACTGGAGGAAGAACGTATGTGTTTGGAATCCTTTTACAAAGCAAGCAATTTGTGATTAGAGGGTAAGAGTACCTCACCAAGCACTCCACATCTGCCTCCCCCCTCTGCCAATCCCTTCATTGGCTCCTGATTGCCCAACGCATCAAGTTCAAGCTGCTAACCCTGACCTACAAGGTCACTCACAATGCCGCCCCGAACTACATAACTGACCTGATACCCAGATACTACCCTACCCATGCCCTCCGCTCCTCACAGGACCTCCTGCTCTCTAGCTCCCTGGTCTCCTCCTCCCACGCCCGAGTGCAGGACTTCTCTAGGACTTCCCCCATCCTCTGGAACTCCCTACCCCAATCCATCAGACTGTCACCTACCCTCCTCACCTTCAGGCGCACCCTGAAAACCCTCCTCTTCAGGGAAGCCTACCCCAACCTCACCTAACACCCGACCTCACCTAACAATTAACCTCCTCCACTCCACCCACCACTCCATCCCCCAAAGCCATCTCCTCCTGTGCCACCTTTTCCTCCCTCCTAGATTGTAAGCTTGAAAGAGCAGGGCCCTCGAACCCCTCGTATATTGTATTGTTACTGTCTTGTCTCATGTTATATCCCCCTGCTACTGTACAGCGCTGAGCATACCCTTTGGCGCTATATAAATACTGTATAATAATAATAATAATAAATAATAATAATAAAAGAGTAGGCATTACGGATATAACACGCTGGCACTTAGTGAAGTTTTTGCACTTTTTGAGCACTTTTATGTGAGTGTAATTTAGTAAAGATAATGTTTATGTGATAGAGGTAATGCACTATGTGCGGTTTATGTATTTTTTTTGAGGGATTAAGAAGAAGAGGATGACATCACTTCGAAGATACAAATATTGAGTACCTTGTGAGCCAGGTGCCAGGATGCAATGGGGACCTGGCGCCTGGGATTTGTTGAGCCCTAGCATAGTGTATGGCCACCTTTATAAAAGTACATGGGAGGGACTGGGTGGAGACAGCCAGCTGTCACTGTTCTTGAGTAAACACATTCATTTCACTTTCAGGTCCCAGCGAAGTGGGAGTGCATGTTTTTTGGCATGTTTTTCCCAGAACATACATAGGGCAGTGCATTGATTTCAATGGCCTGCCCTACATGCAACAACCACCCCAAAGTAGCTCATGGGGTATTTTGGCGTGTTGTGGTTTGCTCGTTTTTTTACTGCACATTTTCCTGCGATTGTCACATGGGTTTGCACACAACATTTTGTGTTTGAAGTGCGTTAACAACTGTTGGCACTGAAAGCATGACTAGTTCATTATAGGGGTATAAAGCTGACCATACACTATACAAACAATTTGCACAACCTTTGTACAATCTCCTTTAGATTTACCAGCACTAAAAAATAAGAGGACACACCTATCTATCCAATCACTCTGCATCCAGGCAGACAGACCCTGCACTACCTAGTTGTTGGTACAATCACATTTTATAGTGTATGGTGAGCTTTACAGACTTCCAGGGACATATTTCTCCTGTTTTCAATACTACAGCTCTGCTCCACATAGGCTGGTATGTGATCGCTCAGCTCCTGCATACTCTGCCAAATGAATGATCTATGCAAGATGAAGGTAAGGTACAAAACAATTGATTGGCAGAGGAAGACACTGGCTGTGTATTGAGGAAGAATGATGCTCACTGCACGTAAGTACAAAATTGGGTGGGTGGGAGCAATCTCCTGGAGGGGGAGGGCAGGTGCAGGGTGTGTGTTAATGAGGTCAGCTACTAACACTTTTCATTTCATTTTCATTCTACTAACACTTTTCATGTCCTATAGGACATATACTAGGAAATTCTGGATGTTTGTTATATAGAAGAAATTGGAGGCTGAGGTTATCCCTGCTCTAGAATATAGAGACAGCTTTTTCTTTTCTGCAACAGTGGTACATTAATGAAATATTGGTACATAGGGAAGTTGGAAAATAAAAAAGGTGAACTTAGCCTTTAGGTTATTGAGTTAAATAGGTAAGTGAGAAAAGAATTATACGCCCCCCCATAACAATGGGTCAGTAAACGAAACAAAAATAAAAACATTATAGATCTTTCATTTACCACAAATTGTAGATTCATTTAGATAGATATTCTAGAAACATGTTGAGGTTACATGCCATCAGTGTTATTCATGTGTTCCCACGCTGACCACCTAGTGTGAAAGTAACAAAGGCCACTAGTATTGTAAGGACAGAAGTTCCTGCAAACAGGATATGAGATACTATAGTCCTGGATTGAGTAGAGTAAGTATTGCTGTATAAACTCAATAATGCAAGATCTGGCAAAGGACTGGTTATAATCCCCGTCACCTTGGACATTAGGATAAATACCACAATCCAAAAACTTTCTATGCTTTTACCAGGGATGCACTAATACTGAGTATTTTCATGAGTACTCGTACTCTGTAAATACTGTTGATACCTTAACCTCCCTAGCGGTATGATTGTTTCCGATTTTTTGTGCTGAAAGAGGTACCATTTTTTTGCATGGAAATATGTAGTTTTTTATTGTAGGCTGTCATTTTTAGGAATAACTCACTGAAATCTGTCCGTACAAGAGTCTATTAAACATTCCGGATATGATAAAATTTGAAACACGGAATCATAAATTATAATTTAATAAATAATCATAAAAAAATAATAATATAATAATAAATAATTTAATTCAATTATATAATCAAACCAAAAACACTGAAATTTGAAATACAGAGGCAAATTCGCACATCGCTGAGCAAAGTCGCAAAATCGTTTTCAGTGTCTGATGACGAATTTCCCCACAAATCATTATCACTCAATTCTGCAAGTGGTTCTGATTTACTATCGCTGTTCTAAAACCGCTTTTGACGTAAAGGGACGCTTTTTGGACACCATGGACTTTTCTAAGTTTCCAGGCAGAAAGAACATTCAAAATGCAGGCAGGGCACAGGACAAAGCAGTAGGGACAAAATATATGTGAAATGCATTGAAACAGCAATGACAACAAAAATGACATTTTTAAAAAATTTCAAATTTCCCGCCGGCGCCCTGACGTCACATGGACCGGAACACAGAAGCCGGATGCCAGCATCGGCCGGAGGAGATGGCCAGGGACGCTGCAGGGGACACATCGCGGGAGCGAAGGACAAGGTA